GTTCATCGCTGCCGCCGGCGGCCTTCAACTGGGTGGGTGGGGGAGGGAGGGAGGGAGGGAAATCGGGCCACTCGCCGCTGCTTCAACTGGGTGGGTAGGTGGGGGAGGGAAATTGGGGCGCAGCGAGCGGCAACCGCCGCGCCGTTCAGAAGCAGCGTTCGCCTCCCGCCTCCCAGCCAATGGCATGGCAGCAACCTTGAGCGACAGCTGGCCAGCCAATGGTTGACGGAGCGCATTTTGTCTTATGCTGTGTCTTACTCAATTATGTATAAGGGAGAGATTATATGTTGAATCCAAAAGAATCACAAATGGAATAAGTTTGCAAAAAAGGATTTGTAACCATAAAGTCCCCCCCCCCGAATGCTAGAGTGTTGCTTCTTTGGGGAATCAGCTTCTTTAGGGAGAGGGGGGGAGAAGCTTCTTTGGGGAAAATGTGGGGGCAGCATGTGCCTGCAATTCAAGCTGCAAATTCATAACCATAGGGATTTCCCCAAATGCTAGAGTGTCACCACACAATGGCCCCAATGTGATGATGACACTACCAGTGGTGTCTCCATGGGCTGCTGCTGTTTGGGGGTGGGACTTCCCCCACCGACCAGGTGGCCGGCGGATTGGGGCCCCCAAAATCGGGGGATCCCCTGGCCAACTAGGTGGATGGCAACCCTAATTATTATTCCTAGTTATTATCCATCTTATTCATTGTCTCTGTTGTATCAGTGTATGCAGTCACAGCGGTATTAAAGTTACTTTTATCTAATATAGGAAATCTGTTTAATTTGTTTTGTGTTAGCAAAATTTTACACTAGGCCCAGAAGTTATAGAGTCTAAATGTTAGAATCTAACATTTATATTCAAACCACATCCCATGCTGTTCTATCCTGCCCGTTAGCTGTGCAAATCTTTTCTGGATAATAGAATTGATTTCTCTAATCAGATTTCCTCACCAGTATGTATAATCTGCATATAGATTAATCCAATTTTTAGCTGCTTCAAAAGAATGTTTACAATTGGCTGCCTCCCCACATAGAACTCTAACATGATTTTCAGTCTGACGATTTGGTTCCTGAAAATAAGTTTGCTTGCTACCAAGAAATGTGACCAGTTGTACTTAGCATGTTTCCATGAACAGCTTCTTCTAGGATTTAGGGCCAAGCTAAGCACAGAAGGGAAATCCACTTGTGTTTATTTATGTGTCTTCCGATTTACAAGTAAAGTGGGAGAGAGGTCCTTTTAACAGAAAATTGAGTGCATGGGTGAGAGAAGCTAAACTCCGCAGCCTTCCCATCCTTACTGCCTGCCAAAGTGCCTCACAGGATTTAAGATCTAATACAAAAGATTTGATAAAAATATTATTTGGGGGAGTAACTGCCTGCTGGATCAGGTTCCGGTCATTGCAGAAGGCTGCTTGGCTGCTTTCTGCCCTCCCTCAGAAGGTCATTGATGGCAGTGAGAAGCCAAAGGGAAGGGGGTCTTCATCTGTAGCTACCGTAAGTACAACCATAGTGGAAATATGAGCTTTTGAATTCGTCATTCCCTTTCATTTACCTGTATTTGATGTTTCTATGGTATTATGACCTTTTGGTTAAACCGTATAAATTGACAACTTGGATTAAAGCAATGAAGCATAATGAAGAAAGTAACAGTGGAGAGGCAATGCTTCACCTGTGTTCTTCATTTTCTGTTAAAAATAGAAACACATGCATACATGCTTTATAGATTAACAGACACACACATAAATAAATGTCAGTGAACCCTTTCATGTCTATTTTGGCCTTTAACCTTTGAGGGAAAAAATAATTTTTCTCCTCAAAGGTTGAAGGCCAAAATAGACATTTTCCCCCCTCACAGGCAGCCATGTACTAGGCAACCAGAATGTTTGAATTTTCACATATGTAATTCTTCAGTCTGCAATACCTGAGCAAAGCTGTCAATTTTAGGATGTTTTGGAGTTCAGTAATTCATAGGGTCACCTTAAATCAGAAGAGACTTGACAACACATAACAGACACACATGGTTTGCCCCACTGTGTGCATCAAAATATCTGTATAATGGGGCCACCCATGGCTAGGGTAGCTCTTTCTGCAAACTTAGGTAAATCCCAAATTTACAGAAAAATCTGAACATTTTATATAAAAATGTTAAAATTATAAAAATTAGTGTAAGGCCTTAAACCCACCCTCAGTAACTTGTGATGTCTGTGTTGGTCAGGTATTGCAGAAAAACAGAACACACACACACAAACATGCTGTTTAAAAGACAGGGAGTGACCAAGTGGAGCGGGGAGATGTATAAGTGGAAAACTGGAGAGAAAGGAGGGGGAAAGAAAGTGCTGAGAAGGCTGGGGGGGGGGTAAGCCACGATTCTGAGGATTGGTGGGACCAAGCAAGATGAAAAGAAGTGGAAACTAGCTGAGGTGATGGGACTTTCCCTCCCTTGAAAGTCCTCATAGGTTTCCCTCTTGTATTATAACATTATTATATAGAAATATTTATACCGGCTCAGTGTGATCAGTCCATGACGTAAACTAATTAAAGCACTTACTTATCAAACATTCTGAAGAGATCTGAAAGCTCCTCTTCTGATTTTCCTTTGCTGTCATCTTTCATACACCTGACCATCATAACTAAGAACTCATCAAAATCTACAGTGCCACTGCCTGTCAACAACACAGGATTAAAAAAAAACACAGAATAACCCATCTCTCAGCTTGAGCAAATTCTGCATAAATAGAGCTTTAGATTTCAAACATGATGAAATAAGACCCAGTTAAAATATTATAAATAGTTGATTGAGGTTAGCTTTTGCTTTAATGGACAATTGTGTAAATTGTTATCACTCCTCAGACCTGACATTGGAAAACTTGTATGGGGCTGGGTTGAAAAGTTCTTACCCAACTTCTTCTTTCTTCATCTCCCCATCTTGAATTCAAAGAACTCCAAAGCAGTTAGTTTGTCAAAGGTCACCCTCTTTATCTTTTTCCTCCTCCTACCATCTCTCCACCAAAAACATTTCATTATATTTAAAGCGTCCTTCCTAAATGTTTAACCATCTACAACTCTGGAAGAAGATGCTCACCATCTTCATCTACTTCATCAATCATCTCCTGTAGCTCCTCGGGAGTAGGATTCTGCCCCAGCATTCTCATAACTTTTCCCAGCTCCTTTGTGCTGATGCACCCGTCCTCTGCACCAAGGACAAAGATGTCAAAAGCAGCCTTGAATTCTGTAGAGAGAAGTGAAATCAGTGCTTGTTATTGTATTGTTTTTAACAATAGAAAAGTTCACAAAGTCTTTTGCAGCCTTCCCAGCCATGATGGTCAGTAGATGCCCAGTATACCTTTCTCTTGTTTCCTCATTATACAAATGCTTGACTTACATCATGTGTGTGTGTAGCAGAAATGCAGCATTGACTAGCAACTAAGGGTTTTTCTGTGCTTTTGTAACATTTCATCTTTGCAAAGCAGGATCTCAGGAAGCAAGGCTAAGTGTACATACAAGTGTACACACCGACATCCTTTGTAGGCACTATTAGGAATCCTGTAAAAATAAGGATCCCAATCATTTGTACAAAGCCATTTGTAGAGCTATGTAGAGCTATAGACACAGGCATTGGAGGTGAGGCCAACAAGCACAATTGGTCTCCCCTCGATGGGTCTGGAACTGGACACACTTTGAACAACTGAACAACATTACAGTTGTGCCTCTCAAGCAATACATGGAAAATCTCCATACTGCATTCCTAGGTGGGTACTACCAAAACAGCCCAATTCCAATGAGCCCAAGTTTTTGGCCCGAATGGAATGCTAGCAGCTCCTTTAGCGTTTTTCTAAGAACTATTTGAAACAACCTGAATTCTCCTGCTCAGTCTTAAAAGAAAATAAAATGTGTTCCCCAAAATATTGAATGGATCTGGAAGTGGGATCTGAATGGATCGAGAATGAATTAATCTGGAAGCCAGATCTGAATGGATATGGAAGGATTCAGCTCTCTGCCTCCACTTCTGAATACCCCTATATGGAGAAGACATTGGTTGTTCAGGACATCGTTAAAAAAAAGATCAAAGCAGAAATTCAGCCCTAAAGAGGAAATATGAAGACCAGGCAATGCTGCCAACACATTACTGTATAAACACATCCCCCAACCACAACTCTTTAAGGCAACAATTATTCTCTTTGGATTCTGGCTGATTTTCATTGGTGGTGGTGAACTGGTGACTCTCAAGACTTTCACTCCAATTATAGTCTAACAATGGAGCAACGTTCATAGTAAGATTAAATGGCATACACTCACCATTTTTTTGTTCTTCTGTCAGCTGTTCAACCTTTTCACATAAAAATAAAAACAATCATTAAGTAAAAGCTGCAATGTGGTTTGGCTAATATGCACATTTCCTCCACAAGGAGCCTTCTGCCAATGCAAGGAATCGTGTATTCCACTGGCAAATGGCTCTTTCTATTGGAGGAAGGCTCTGCCATTAGTGAAATGCAATAATAAAACCCAACTAGAACAAAGTTTGAGTCTAGTGGCACCTCTAAGACCAACAAAGTTTTATTCAAAGTATAAGTTTCCGTGTGCATGCACACTTCCTCAGATACGTATCTGAAGAAGTGTGCTTTGTGCATTAAAGCTCATACCTTGAATAAAACTTTGTTGGTCTTAAAGGTGCCACTGGACTCAGACTTTGTTCTGCTGCTTCAGACCAACACAGCCACCTATCTGAAAAGCCAACTAGATTAGTGTAAATCAGTCATGTACAGAGCCATCCTACACAAGGCCCATTGATCTCAATGGAGTTAGAGTACAATTCTACTTAGGATGGCACTGCAAATCTCATAGTATCTGCAGACAGAACACACAGTGAGATGCTGCTTCATTAAGAAATAAATTATTTCCTGTTAGATCGCGCTAACAAAGGACTCTTAGAGTGATTCAGCAAGTGATTCAGCTTTATTGGAAGTAACGAACAAGCACTCAACTCAGTAAGAAACCAGAACAGAAAACAGTGGGAGCTTATGCTCCTTTTAAACATAACCGGGCTAATGTAGCCACGCCTATTTACAAATAACAACCAATGAGATTGCTAGAATAAAGACCAATGGGAGTCTTTCCCTCCTAGGGAATGGTACCGTTCTGATTGGTCGCTGTTACGAAGCGACCAATAGGAAGTTCGCTCAGAGGAGCCCTGGCCTGGCTCGAAGCTTAACATGG